GTTGGCGTTCGTTTAGGGTTTAGGGTTTAGGGGTTTAGGGTTTAGGGTTTAGGGTTTAGGGTTTAGGGTTTAGGGTTTAGGGTTTAGGGGGTACGGTTTAAAGTTGAGGGCAACTTAGAGAACTCCTCTTTCAGAGACCAACAGGAAAAAAGTCGATGGATAAAGGCCTAGCGCCCTAAACCCTAAACCCTAAACCCTAATGTAAAGCAAAAACAGTCCCGAACGAGCCTCTTACAGATTCACACGGGTGTTGATAAAGTATTACCCTGAGCGTCCATGTACTCAGAATATTATGGTATAGACTTTGGCCTTTATGTAGCCCCCCATTAAGGTACTTTAGTGCCCAAGTATATACTATCTTTTCTATGGGCACATGGGCACGTAGGGTTACACAGCTTGGCAGGGTTTGAGATCGATCTTGTCCGGCTTCTTGGCTCGTTTTAGAAATCAGGGGCTTGGGCTTCAGGCTTCAGGCTTTTAAGGTTTAGGGATCAAGGACTAAAGCAATTACAGGATTTGAAGGACGAAGTTTGGTAACAGGACAGCCAAGAGTAGGATTTGAGGGTGGGAGCTTTGGCAAAGTGAAGGCTAAGTGTAGGATGTAGGGGTGGGAGCTTGGCACCCTAAACCCTAAATCCTAAACCCTAAACCGAAGGCTACTTGGAGGATCATGGGAATTAGTAACTAGGGTTATAAATAAGGTAACTATATAATATAACCCTAATTAGGGTACTTATAACCTTATATACTACTAAGTCCCATGATCCTCCAAGTACGTGCCCAGGACTGGTGCTAGGGATGTAGGCTCGTATCATGGGAGATGAAGGCCGGATGAAATATGGTTAGTTTTCATCAAGGTCCCTTTAGGTCCCCAATATAGTACGCTACCCTTATTGATAAAAAAAGGACCCTTAAAGGGACCCTAATGTAGAGAACTACCCGTATAGATTGCAGACTCTCCGGGTCCATATACCCAATTTGCATATACTTTGGCCTTAATGTAGTCCCTATAAAGGTACTTTAGGGCCAATGTATATACTATTTGGGAACATGGACCCTTAGCCTTTGGGCACGTGAACGTTCTTAGTGTAGAGGCGTTGGCCCTCATGTACCTACGCAGGAACCGCTTGAAGACCAATGTGTTGTACTACATAGGCTTTGGATACTTGGAGGATCATGGGACTTAGTAACTAGGGTTATAAATAAGGTAACTAGAATTATAACCCCAATTAGGGTAACCTTACTTACTAAGTTCCATGATCCTCCAAGTAGACCCTTGGGAATATGGCTGTGCGGCGAGCTCGGAGGGACGAACATGCAGGAACCAATAGACTCGGGTTCTCAGCGTTTACGGCTTCGGTTTTAGATTCAGATCACAGAGCTTTCCATAGCGCGAAAAAACAACCCAAATTCCTAGAATCTCCAGAATGAGTATAGCCGTGAAAAATAGCCAAAACTTCTAGAATCCTACACTCTCAAATCAGCTAGATGCCCTAACACCCTCATAAATCCTACCATACCCCACGTCTATCAAACCGACAAGGTACTCCACGGCCCGCATCTCGGACTCTGGAAAGATGGCGGCCCAAAATGCCTGCTGCTCCTCAGGGTGGGTAGGGTTTAGGGCTTAGGGGATTTAGGGTGTAGGGTTTCGGGGAAACTCTGAACCCTAAACCCTTGAGGGTTTAGGTTTTAGGGTTTAGGGTTTAGAGTTTAAAGGTTTAGGGGTTTAGGGTTTAGGGTTGTTTAAGGGGCACCCTAAACCCTATAGACACTTAAACATGCCTGCTGCTCCAGAGTGTTTGCCTTGCCATAAGGGTCCATGTACTCGCATAGTACATGCACTGATGAATTACTGTGGACTATGGTGTGCAAAATTCCTGTGAGGTACGTTCTAAGCCTCGAATCCCCCACCCTAAACCCAAACCCTAAGCCCTAAACTCCTAGACCCTAAACCCCTAAACCCTAAACCCTGAACCCTAAACCCCTAAACCCTAAACCCTAAATCGCTCTTGAGTTCAGGCTTTTGGGGACTAGATTCTGACGGTGCTGTGTGTGGATTCTAGAGTCGCTGAACGCTTTAGGCTACATAGGGGTTTAGGGTTGAGCGGTTTAGGAGTTTAGGGTATAGGGGTTTAGGGTTTAGGGTTTAGGGGTTGAGGGTTTAGGGGTTTAGAGGTGTAGAGGTTTAGGGTTTAGGGTTACTACCAGTGCCTAAATCTATCACTGACACCACGGTCGCCGCCAGCCTAAACCCGAACCCCTCAGACCGCCGGCAAAACCACTACCACGACGAAGACACGGCTCTCCTCTCCTGGGTTGATTCTCTAAGAGCCCATGTGCCTACAAAGCACCTATATAAAAAAAACAACCTGGTGTATAGTCGCCCTTTTGGCTCCTTTTCTTTGTTCAACCAGCTTGTCTGTTGAGGCTATTGGTAATGCAGCCGCTTATAAACACGCTGTTAAGGCCAAAGTACGTACTGCAAGTCATCGACACGTGGACCCTTTAGCATGTCGTAGTCAACACCATAAGGCCCAAATAACAATCGCTTCAGATCATTTTGCAAAACCCGCCTAGCCCTAGCATGCCCCCAACACCCAAAACTTCAAACCTGGTACCCAGAAAAATATGTCTGTAATTCTAGTAGGAGCCCTAATATGATTTAGAGTATATATTGGATTCTCCGGGTAAAGGGAACCCATCATGGCCTCGAGGATGCCCACTTCACGCAGGGCGGACACGACGTTGCTGTCCCTCGCCGGGCTGAAGACTTCTAAAGATTCCGTAGTTTAGGGTTTACCCATAGGCCCCAGAGTAGTTCCTTTTTGGGATTACCTTATAGGATCCTAAATAGGAACCCCAAAAAGGAACTACTATGGGGCCTATGGGTGGGGTTTGGGGCTCAAGGGTTTCAGGATTTACAGGTACTGTAACGGAGGAGTGTCGCGGTATCTGTTTAAGGCTTTCTATGCTTTTCTCGGGAGCCTCGTCGTCCCTGAACCCTACCTACACCAAACTAAGGTTGAGGGTTCAGCGCCCCTGCGTGGGGCGTCATGTGTCTTAGGATTATAGATACAGGGTTTAGGTTTACAGGCGTGTTTGCTCATTGAGAAGCAACAGCCGAGTATTCCGCAAAGAAGGTGGGGAGCGGGCACATGTTCGGAAAGCGGTTTAGGATTTAGGGTTTAGGGTTCTGTCTAACTAAAGCGATGAAAAGGATTCCCGATAAGTTACAGCAGATCGTGGAGAGGCGAGGAAGAGAGGCGAGAGAGGCTGCAGCTGACTACTGCTACTACTGCTCCTCCTGCTTCAGAACTACTAATTTGCTACTACATTACCTGGACCCTTAATAACCTACCCTTTTTATGGACTTATATGAGGAAGTTAAAAAAGGAACCCTAAAAAAGGTAGGTTCTGTAGGTAGGCCAGGTAAGCCATGAAGCCTTCTTACCCCTACGCACTAAAGCTTAAACCCTAAACCCTAAACCCTGTCACTAAAGCTTACTTGAAGGATCATGGAACTTAGTAACTAGGGTTATAAATAAGGTAACCTTCATTATAACCCCAATTAGGGTACTTATAACCTTACCTACTAAGTCCCATGATCCTCCAACTAAACCTGAGCCACTCCCCGTAGCAGCGTCGGGCCTGGTATCGCTGAAAATCCAGCTCTGGGGAACCACCTGCCAGCAGGCTCAGTTCTGAAGCGGTTCGGGGGTTTAGGCATTTGGGTTTAAGGGTTTAGGGGTTTAGGGGCTTAGGGTTTAGGGGTTTAGGGGCTTAGGGGTTTAGGGTTTAGGGGCTTAGGGGTTTAGGGGTTTAAGGGTTTTATAGATGGAGGGTGTAGGAGTTCAGGAATCAGGGCGCGGGCTACAGATGGAGAACCCTAAATCCTCCCACCTTTCAAACCCAGAGTCCTATAAACCCGATATGCCCAACAAAAACACCATTTCGGGATTCCGAAATCATGTTTTTTTTTACCTTCCGAAGTTCTCGTGGGGGTGAGGGTTCACGGGCTTAAAGGGCTTTTCCTAAACCTGAAAAGCTAAGCCCTAAACCCTTATGGTATGATACCCTTACAGGAACCCTTAAAGGAAGCCCTAAATTCCTACTGCTTGAATGGCAGCAGACTAAACGTCCCTGAAGGGAACCCTTAATCATTAATCCTAAACTGTAACTGCAATATCCGAAAATCCTACAGCCATCACAAGCCTAAAACCCAAACCTTAAACCCTTATCGAACCCTTAAATAAAGGGAGCGCTGGAAGAAAACTCTCCAACAGAAACCTCTTCTCAACAAAACCCTGGATCGCAAGCCCTACGCCCTACACCCAATAGCCTATTTAGCTAAACCCAAAGCCCCTAAACTCTATAAACCCTAGACCCTAAACCC